ACCTCCTCGCTGAGGTATCAGTCCATTTCTGTCTGCACCTTCTCCTCCAGTGTGCAATTTGGCAATTAGTTCATCCTTGTTTGGACTTCTTCTGTGTTCTAAATGCTCAAATCAGTCCATGCATGATTATATTGCTCCGGCCATCAAAAAGTCTGCACATTTTCGAATATATCGACTATCGTCGGTTATTGGACTGACGATTGTCGGTTGGAATATTTTTACATATTGCCCAACTTTAATTGTTATTTCCTCCTGCACACTTTTGCCTACTACTACCATCTGCCATGATCTTTTCAACATTGCAGGGCAACTTAGGCAAACAGCACAAATGTAGCTAAGATGGTTCTACATCATAGCCTCTTCAATATAAAACCTGTTGTTGTTGTTTAACAAAATATTAAAGCTACAATGGAGCCTCTACAATCATACAGTTAAGCTCTGCTTGTCAGACCTGTTCATAAGGAAACTAGATTTGTAGCAACACATGACATCTAAAGACTCACGGTCCCCGTGTACTCACTCTTGTACACTCTGCTCCATGCGTCTCATACATGGACAAGCATGGACAAGACAGGTAAACTTAAGATGGCATTATTCAAGTTGACACGCACTTCCTTTACTGTGTTATAAAAAGATACAAATGCATGTTCATTTTAAATTTAATCCGCTGGACAAGTGAGGCACAGTTGTATATACAAATGAAAGTAGTCCCCTGTTCTTTATCTTCATATACATAACTAACTTTAAATAATAAAGCATGAAAATATATAGATATATATTTATTTTTAATGGAAGGAACTTGTAAGTATCCAGTTCTGATGAGTAGAGGTGAGTTTTTAAGTGTGTAAAAGACCTAAAAACTAAAGCGCTCTGGGTGCTTGAGTAGCAAAGGGCTATACAAGAACCAGTCCATTTACCAAGTCAGAAAGACTTTGAACTTTAACTTCATTTTCTTCACTTTAAAATTTTTTGCAGCTTTATTTTTCCTGGTACCAGATACTTTCACAGCAGCTTAAGTTTGACATGATAATGACATTTATTTTTTTTCTTTATTAAGCTTGAGAAACGGTGGAGCTTTGCAGCGTTGTACATGACTGTACATTTTGCATTGTGAAACTTTGGATTCATGATAACATGACAACTACAAAAGCCGTTCTTGCGCTTCACATTGCAGGAAGATTACAAAACCAGACAAACAGCATTTACATTTAATAGATCATATTTTTATAGATTAAAGCAAAAAAGAGTTTCTTAAATTTAATTTCCACATTCTCAAATACAGGACTTTTAATTCTATTAATTCCATTTATTCACATTTGTTTTTTCCCAATCCCATTGGGCAATGAATAGTAGTTTCCAGTTACAGTCCTTATTATGTCTGCTGGCTGTCTTACAGTTGTGGAAATTTTTTCTACTGTGCACCTCCTGTGGTTTTGTTTTCTCTGATTCTGATAGCTTCCTCCAGTATGTAATGCATTTTAAAAACAAAACCTACTGAAGTAGTTACAAGATGTTAAGTAACAAGACTCTGACAACAAAATGCAGATGGGAATATGCGATCATTGCTTGTTTTTCTTTTCTTTTTTTAATAGTTTTTCAGAGAAGGCTTCTTTAGCTTCATTGTTTCATTAGGAGAAAATACGATCAGCTTTGAGGAGATATAACTCTTGTTTTCATTAGCACCTCCCCAGACATGGATTAGAATACACAAAAAAATAACAGAAGTACAGTGCTACTGTTGTCCTTCAACCCACCAGTGCTCACGGAAGTAAATGACAATAAAAAGTAAAAGACTGGCCGATATTGCGTAATAGGATCACAGGAAAAAAAATAAAAGGTGTCTCCTTTAATGAGCTAGAGAGTTTACATTGGTACATTTTTTTTTTAAATTGTATTACATTTTTTATTTTATTTTTATGCTGGGGGAAAGTGGATTGCGGTGAACTTGAAATCTTGTTTCCTTCTAAATCGTTGTTTCAAAGACAGGAACAAGTCTGCAACCACTTGCAGGAGAATTCACATTAGGCAAGTTCATATAAACTACTTTCAGAGTCAGATTTAAAAAAAAAAAAAAAAATCCCTAAATAGTAATTGTTGCAGGACTGCAATTTAAGTGCCAAATAACACAGGTAAGCAATCGGCTCGTTGCAAATGAGCTGCACTCAACAGCACAGACTGACTCAGATTGACTGGACCGTGTTGGAAATCTGTATACTTTTTTTTTTTTTTTTTTTTTTTAATTGGATGAATATTATTTGAAAACCTTTGCCAGTCTGTAATAGTTCAATTAAAGTCTTATGTTTTGTTTTTTTTGTTTGTTTTTTTGTGTTTCAAACATCTGAAGTCATGCTTTTCTATGAAGTTTATTCAGTTGGTATTTTTAGGAAAAGGGGTTGCTACTTTAAACTGTAATTGTAAAAGCAGCAGTTTTAAGCATTAGTTTAGTGCTTGCTGCTGAACTAAAGACTGAACTGAACTATGCAGTCCTGCAGCAGGCATAATGTCGTCTAGACTTTGAGCCCCAGATTAACATCTGGAGGGGATGGTCCTCATACACATGTGCATGCTGTCACATAAATTGGAGATGAAAGCGCCAACACAAACATCTGGTGTGGAAACGAACAACATGGCACAGGCCTGCAGTGAATCTGCAGATCGAGTTACCATGGTTATAGATCCTTCAAATGTCCAGCAGCTTGTGTATTTTGGGATGATTTAAAATAACCACAACAGTTGTCTTTGTTCCCTCTTGTCTCACTCTTTCTTCGCTGCTTTCCCATCTCTCTAATATCGTCTCTCTTACAAACATGAATACTTTCCCTGTTTTTGTCCTGTTATGTTTGCTTTTACATAATGTGACATTTCATGATTATAAAACTGCAGATTTTGATTTTGTTGTGTAATGGCATATACTCAGTTTCAGTTCTCTCCTCTCTCGCTCCAGTTCCCCATGTTTTTGTGGTGGGGGTGGGATGAGGGAACGACACAGATTTCCGATCATCACCGGCAGACAGGCTGCTGGGATACTTTCTATTCTATTCCACATCTCGGAGATGATTCACAGCACTGAGAGAGTCATAGGCTAGGCAGCACTGAGCTTAATTAAGTGCCATCATTTCTTGTGTTGTATGTAGTATTCATTACTTAGATTAATAACTCATCATGTGACAATATTAAGGGACAGAGTTTAGTATGATGTTCTTATTTTTGTAGTTATGGCAGGGATTTCTGTGATAACACTGAGCTAATATTTTGCATAGAGGAAATTTGTCTTGCCCACAGATTTTAAACAGAGCCAAACAAAATCACTAGTAGCTTTTAGTAAAATGATTTAATGGAACACTTTGCTTATCAAATGGCAGGAAAATGCACAGATATGAGAATCACTGCCTTATTGATTATGCTTACTTGAGTAGTCTCCCCTTGGAAGGCTGATGCTGATACAGGAAAAACACTCTTCATTAGACATATGTTCTGTTTTGAGCCAATGAGTATTCTAGCCCATTTTTCAAAAAAATCTCTGTAAACCTTAGGTATGATTATGTGGGGGAAATCCTGTTAGATTGTCAGTTTCTGAAATATTAAGATCAGCCTGTCTGGCACGAACAAGCGTGCAATGTCCAAAACCACTTATGCAACTCACCATTGTGATGTTCATTCTAAACTTCAGCAAGTCATCTTGACGACGTGTACATGCCTAAATGCAATGAGTTGCTGTAATGTGATTGGTGGATTAGATATTTGATAACAAACAGTTGAACAGGTTTACCTAACAAAATGTTGATAAATAATTGACTGTAAGTGTCTAGTGAAGATTTAAACTTGGTAATAATTAGCAAGAGAAAAAATAAAGGCAGAGCTGCAGGGTAAAGAGTTTTAAAGGAGCTGAATGAATTGCTTTTGCAAAGTTTATTGTTGAGCCTTCCTGTCATGTTAAGTCACAGCCTAAAGTAGAGGTAAAAATTAAGAAGCAAATGATCGAATCCATCATCATATGCCTCAAAGATTGGCAGTGATAAAAGGAACTGATAATGGTGACAAATGGTTGTATGATGCAAAACAATTACTTCAAGCTCCTGATGGGAACACTTGACTCACATGTAAGATTTATTTATTTTTATTTCTCTCCTGTAGTGTTTCTATTCTGTGCTCACTCGTATAAAACTGTTTTATTCACAATGGAAACCTTTCTTTGTTTTCACAGGAATAAGGTAATTAATAGATAATTACACTTATAAGCAGAGTTAAAAATGGCCTCGGTATCAGAAACAAATTGATATCCATCCATAATTTCAAGTGTGATTCAAGTGTTTAAGTAGAAGGCCTCCACAATAACAAATGCCCACATTAATGAAATCTAAGCCCCTGGTTAAAAATTGATGACTCTGAAATGAAAATCAACATGCCAAGAAGAATGAGGAGTGCTGCCACATTTGGTGATATTGTCTTTCAGTTATTACCTATAAGAATAACAGAATTACTTGCCTTATTGTCTCTGTACGACTTAGATCTTTTTGAGTCATTTAGCAGAGGCGATAGAGATTTTTGTTCTACAATTTAAATTACAATCTGGTCCCAACTCTTTAAAACTTGTCTGACTAGTTTGAGATGGCTTTTACATGCAATTATGAGTGTGCTTAAAGTGTCTTTAAAGTTCAGCTGGGCCCTCACTTTTCTCATAAGACCAATTTAAGGTGCTTAAGACATGCACTTGTTGAAGAGCCAGAAGGCTTGCAATACTCTACAGCTCTTGCCGCCTTCCTGAAACCATGTTTCAGCTGAGAGTCTGAATTACAATCGGCACATCAGTCACACTAATAACTCTTGCTTGTGATTAAATGCTATCTGTCAAATTAACTTATGTCTCACCTCCCTCCTCCTCCTTATCCTTGACCCTTTTGTGTCTCTCTGTGCTTCCTCCCCCTCTTCTCCCCCCCCTCCCCTCACGTCCTCTCTTATACTGCCTCCTCCTTTCCCCTTCTCTTGCTCCTTCCACACAGATGCTCCCAACCGCCCAGCTTGGCAGGAGTGATGGGATGTGTCATCTAGGTATTACAACTATCCCAACATCTTACACTGCAAGCAGGAATATGACTGGGTGGAAGAGGATATTGTGGGAGGGCTTTAGGTTGAAAATGTCAAAAACTGAAAAATGCAACAAAATCCAACACAGACGATGAGCCGCAACAAAAATGGGATTCGCAAGCAACGTGGACAGCTGCTGACATTTGATAACAGTTTAAAGATTAAAAATGTAAGCATGTAGTTTTTCGTAGAGCAAATGGTTGGAAAACTATATCTGGCTTCAGTAAACTGAGACCAGTATCACAATATGAGTGTCTGCATCTTTCCGTACCATGATACTCCTGCAGAGCTGTTAAAACGTGTTAAAATTTCAGATCATTCAGTAACGAGCAAACGGGAAATGCATCAAAATAATTGTTTTAGTTCATACTCCAGTCAAGATCTAGTGATCAGAAATGATTTAACTTTAAAAAATAATGTGGTACTTGATATTAAAATGTCTTTGAAAATCTTAACATATGCAAAATACAAATTTGAGGTTTTCTTTTCCGAGTGTAGCCATTTAGAAATATACAAAATGCAGTCACCAGGATGCTCATGCCAGTAGTACTGTCTTCTAGATAGCGATGAGATGGAAAAGTACAAGTTCAATGAAAATTTGCTTTCCAGCCATCATTTTTGAGACCAAAGTGGTACTGAAGAGTCTATTAAACATATTTTGTGTAGAAAGTGGGGATAAAGGCCGTGGAAAAGCATCAAAGGTCTAGTCAAACATTCTTGATTAAGCGACACGTATACCTTAGCTTGTGACAGATGTCAGCGAGGACTGGTTTCTTTAAAAGTGCAGTTAGAGGGATCAACCAAGCCATAAAAAAAACCTTTGGTTTCTAGTAATTATAGCATGTCTCTCCTCCTTAACAGTGACAAATACAGCTGCAGTCATGCAATATCACTTCACTGAAGTTTAAAAAGCTGTAACAAACTACAAAAATAACAACTGGTGACATAAACCACACTTACAAAAAGTGCTGGTGGGTATATTTTCTTTCCTGTGTGGAGATCTTCACTTCCTGCATTGGCAATCATTTATCAGAGTATTTATCAGATGTATACAGCAGTTTTCACTCAGTGAGAATTTGTCCATGTGCTCATTAATACAGCTGTCCTAATGAACGTCACTATTATTATTTTTGTTCAGTTATTTAGACGTGTAAATATGCATCTGGAGTTTGTTTCTAGTTTATCACATTGGAAACCTATGTTTACATCTGTGTACATCTGGGACATTTATGTAATTTCTATATGTTTGCGTGCGTTATTGTCACAACAAGACAGTTCATGCATATTAATTAAAATTCTACACAGGCAGGAGCACCACACCAGGGACATGTGAATACATGAACACCTGGCTTTTGGATGATAGGTCACATGTAAAATACTCGCAGCATTTTATCCTCTAGGGATGTGTCAGTTGACCACAAAAGGCACAGTTTAAATTTGTAAACCAGTTTAGGCATAAACAAAAAGAGATCAAAACAGAAATGACATTGATTTTAAAAAAATAGTACGTCTTATGCACCATGCCTGCTAAAACTCCTTCTCTTTCTGCCTCCTGCATCATCGCACAGTGATCTTTGTTCCTGTTGTTATCAAATACTATTTTTCTTTTAATGGGCTCTCCTCTTTGTGCCTTTTTTTGTTTGTCAAAGACCTGTTTGCAGCATGGATTACTGATTGACATGTATCCCTTGTTAGTTCACAAGTTATCTGGTTATTGATAATTTGTGCAGGCTGTTTTGATTAAGGCAGATTAAGATGACCGTTTTCTTAATATAGTGAAAAATGATCTGTATAATGACCAGAGCGGTGTTTCTTGGGTTGTTTTTGTTTGACTAACAAAACATTAAGGTATTATATAATCAAGACTTGGTTAACTTTTCACATATGAATGTAAAAGCAAGCAAAAAAACAACAAAGTGAATTGTAGGAAAAAAATATTCTGTCAACTAGACAGAAAACCAATCACACTGATAAACTTTCTGTTAGATCCACAAAGTTCAAAAAGGGTAATATTTGTGTCTTCTGGATTTTTAAAAAGTAGCTTTGGACCTGGAATTACTTTCAAAATCATAAATGTAGTAGTGGCATAAAGTTGCATGTGAACAGTTACATGCTGATTTCTAGACCTGTGAGTACTTTTCACTTCCCAAATCTTCTGTGAACTCTCTATCAGGATGTAAACAGATTATATAGCTCCAATAAGCGGATCTTACTTAATTAGAACTGTCATAATTATTTCTTGTGCTTTTACAAAACTTCTTAACTTTGTCTTGGTTCTTCAAAAGACACCAGGTATCAATAATGCAGATCTTGAAGTGAAAAAGCAATATCTTAGCTAGTTAAATATGTATTGAACAATGGCTCACGATCCCTTAATGAACAGTTCAATTTAATTGTGTTTATGCTGTTGCTTTATTATTGTGAATCACACTAAGAATAAAAAAAATTAAGTCTGAGAATTTAATATATTCCACCAGAAATTTTGACCCATCATCCCCTGCAGTGCCCTGATTTTATCACAGGAATGTTGCCCTTGTAAATAAATTAAATATTAATCCCTCCTTATCTGTCTCATTTTCTAAGCAGAAGAGGCACTCCTAGACGATGTAATCACCCTGAAGGATTCATCTGAAACCACACCACAGCACGACCAAGGAGTAACGGAGAACGAGAAAGAAGACGAAGACACAAGCATGGGCGTGGGGAAGAACACCACCTCCAAATCGATGGACAGCAGCAGTGAAGGAGGAAAATATGAAGAGGAGTGCAAACATGGGGCAAATTTCTACCCGATTCCGGTACATACAACCATAAATAAAATGTTCCCACAGAGACCACAGCCACACCTAAAGCACGCTTGTATAATGAAGACATAGACAGGGGTTTGCACATAGTTGGGATTGTCCTACATCTCCTCACATTACTCTTTTCTGACTCACGCAATCATATTTGGCATTGCTTTTTGCCTGGAATGTGTTGGAGCAGACAGTCGCACACGAACCTCTTACTTCATGGTCACTTAATGCATGCTGCAGCCAATACTTTTTCCATCCGTTTCCTCTGTTTGTCCTCTTGGCACCAGGCCGCTGCCTTATGTAGGTCAGTGGGCAAAATCACGACAGAGACATTTATCAAATCTGATTTCCTCCACACAAATATGCTTGTTAATTCTTATAGCTCCATTAAATTAAAACATAGCATGTTTTAAGAGATTCTTTTTCATACGTGTTTTTACTTCTTGCAGGAGATTTGCCCTTGTTCTGTGCTGACAAGAGAAGCTATTATGCTCCTTTTAAGTTTATATTTTTGGTCTACTAGAATTGCGTTGCATGATTCAAAGATTAAAAAATTCTTATTTATCTTACACTCTATCTTACTGAAGCCCTTAATAAAAGCCATTTGGGATTCTTTAACACTAAGCCAACTGATTGACTGCCCCTTACAATTAGGAGAGTGTGGACTGTTGTGCTCAGTCAGGTCTGTGCAGCAGAGATAACCATCTTCCAGATATCTGCAGTTGCTAATCCTGCACAGCCAAGAGAACGAAACTGTCGAAATCAGAGCGTTTAGAATAGTATGAAGTATGAACTTTTGCCTTGAGATGAATACTTGCACATACACTGTCTTTTAGACCCTGTTTCTTCTAGACTACTTAAAGAACGCCTACCGTTAATTAATGCTTCATCTTAAATATGACCAACCTTTATTAGTGAAAATTACAAATAATTTTCTTATGGCCACTTCTCACAGTAAGGTTTATTATAGAGTTACCACCTGTATCTGGTTTTGGACCAGGGTAGATCCTCGACATGCGCAGGGATCAGGTCATGATGTCTGGGGACTGGCCAAGATCCCCTTGAGGCGTCTTAAGACTGGAGAGGAGAGAGACATTTGGACTACCTATATGTTAGCATGTTGGTCCCATAACAAGGCCCCAGGTAACAGAAGGACTGACTATTTATAATTATCATCATCTTTATTTATAAAGCACTTTAAAACAACCACAGCTGACGTAAAGTGCTGTACATTGGAACTAAATCATAAAATTACATAAGATATAAATATAAGTAAAATAATTTGTAACTTGTAAGAAACCCCATGTGCTCTCCATTATTTGCACAGCTTTGCAGATTAAGTTTCACATACAGCACGAGTTAAAAATGAACCCAGCCTGTCCTACATGCAATATAAAATGACTGTTTACAGTTAACAATATCCATATTGTTTCCATACAGTCTAAAAGTGTTCACATTGAATAAGGTACTTTTTCATTTTAGAAAAAGTCTTAGTTGTATTAGCAGAATCTTTTTTCCCCTAAAGCAACTCTAATTTGGCACTTCTCCAGAATATTTCCATATAATTAAAAAATTCAAAACAAAACAAAACAAAAAACACACAAAAAAGAACCTGAAATTTCCTTCAGGAACTGGTGAAGATTTAAATAGTGCTAGCAAACATCCTTTCATGTCCTAAAAGAGGGGGGAAACATGAAATTAATTTTCATGTGGCTTCTTAATACCCTTAAATGTTTAAATAATCAGGTGACACAGGTTAAGCAAGGTAAAAACTACGATAAATCCTCCCATAGAGCTTTGAGGGTGACCACGGAGCCAGCTGGTTTCCTGTTAGAAACTTAGATAAGCTTTGTTCCCTCTTTAAAAGAATTTTCTCTGGAGGCATTTACTGAAGCTGTTCAGTGGAACACAAAGGGAAATAAAACATGAGCCTGACATTTTGTGTGCATTTAATTGTCCTGGTGATCTGACATGTTTCCCTGATAACCTTCAATATCCACTCCACCACTCAGAGTTTAATCTGGAGGCCTATGCATGCCATATGTTTGCATGTGAGGACTGTAGAGTAAAAACTCTGGGTTTGGTGGGCACATTTGCATACACTCCTGACTATGCAAACTACTGCTTTCTCTCCTCCTCGTTGCTGATTGTTCTTAACCTAAATGCTGTGACAAATGCAGCAAAGCCGCACTCTCGTACATAAACCTCAAATGCATATTCAATTATTGAAATTTGTTTGAATGGTTACAAGTTTGCATACTGTAGGAAGCACATGTTCATGTCTAGGGGACATAAGTGCATCTGGCCTTCCACACTGCGTAACATATAGACTGGCGCACACACACAAATATTGACATTGCTTCAGCTTGCATGTTGGCACGCTGACAAAACCTACATTGAAAGCGAAAGGTATGAGCATTACGCCAAACCTGCTTTTGAGAAACTGTGATTTTTGTTTTTTCCTGCATGCTCTGGCAAATTGGGATAGTAAAATGTTGACGTGAAACTCTTTGTATTTGTTTAGGTGGTGGTAAATGGAGTCAGCGGCGCCAGTGGTGACCAGGACACTGAGAACACAGAGCTGATGGCCATCTACACTAAAGATAATCAAGGAGGTGAAAAGGTAACTTAGGAGTAAAAACCGTCAAAGTGAATTCCTCATGAGTTTTTGTAGTCATCTTAAAGGATGTTTTTGAAAGAGCCAAGTCACTATTTTGGCACAATGACTCAAAAAGCATACTGATAAAGTGCTTTTGTTGACTCTGTGGGTTTTTTTTTTGTTTTTTTTGTTTTTTTTTGTTAGCAGCGCTCAGCAAAACAATTTCAGTGATTTCCTTTTTTTTCCCCCAACTCATCTTTCACCTACATACTTGAGATTGTTATCAAAGACTGATTTATTAATAATAAAGCAAACAGCCCTCAATGCTCCACTGGTCTAAAGACCTAGTGATGTCTCTGTGATGTGTAGCAAAGTTTGCTTTGTTTCTTTAAAAATCACATCCAGTAAGTTTTAATAGATGCTTTTCACCTTTTGTTTTGAGACAACAAAAATAAGTAAGCAAAGTTTTTATCTATTCTAAAAATGCTGACCTTAAATGTTATTGAAAAGGGGTATGCAAATCTTAAAGAAGTTTTTATTTCTCTAAAATGTTCTTCCCATAAAAGGCTGAATTTGCACTGATGCCGTAGCTACAGGATGTAGATCAGGGAATGTATACCCATGTCTTACATTGTTTATAAAAACAAGCCAAAGTGAGCTATGACCTCCATTTTTTTTTAACAGTAAGTGGCAATCATGAAGCTTAAAACCTGTAATTATGATAAGTATCCATTCATGGGTTTTCCCTGAAAACAAAAGCCATATCATTATAAGTAAAACCCTTTCATGTGATTCACTATTTATAGTATAAACTTCTGCTGTAAACATGCTGTTGTTTTCAATTCTAATCTCCAAAGTAGAAGTTAGAAAAATTACGTTTTGTTGTTCTGTTTTCCTGGTTTATTTTTGTTTACATAAAAACTTTAACCTCATTGTAGTACAGAAAGATGCTGATGAGATATTTAGTAGAAAAGACCAACTCATCAGAATGACTCCTTATCTTCCTCTGTGGTTCTCTGCTCTCAATGTCACCATGACACTGCACTTTTCTGTAAGACAGAAATTTACCTCTGGTATTTTTCCATTCATAAAATTCCACAGATCGGCTCAGACATGTTCCACTGACATAACATTATTTTCCAGTACATGTCATATAGCATGCATGTAAAGAGAAGTGTAGATTAACAGGATACAGTTTCTTTGTGTTTCATTGTCTGTGTAGAGCTCTGTCTGAGACATTTAACAGAGCTCTCCTCAGATCTGCTCTGACACGTTTCTCTTGCACTAACACATCATGTGGCAGCTATTTTCCTGTACATCCTATGTAAAGTACATGCACTGATGCAAAGGGAAGTGGATTAAAATGATAATAATACTGTTTGTGTTTCATTATGTGTGTAGAGCTCAATGTCTGAGACATTGGACAGTACAGACAGTATTGATGCAAGGAGGTCTGATATGATCTACACCATTGAAGACACCCCACCCTGGTATCTCTGTGTGCTCTTGGGATTACAGGTAAACCTACACATTAAATTGTTTTAACCTCCTAGGACCCTGCGTCCACATATGTGGACATCACATTTTGGGTTATTTAGACCAAAGTACTCAATTTTGCTGTACAGGGGCCTGATATCCACTTACGAGGACATTATACTGCTACTGTTCTATCAAAATTTTAAATGAATATTCTCATATGTGGCTCTCATTTTTCTTAGAAACAAAAATTAAGTAAAAAATAAATAAAAAATCTGGTAATTCTTTGTTTTTACATTCATGAGGACCCAATCAGCCCAACTATCAAAGAGAAATTAAAAATGCATGCCGTGGAAGAGTTTGGGTCTTAGGAGGTTAATATGGACTGAGAATGTCAAATACACACTCTATGATAAGGGTGTGGCAGATGCTTTTTAAGCTATGTTTTATGTCAGTGACGTCTATTTTTTTTTTCCTTCTGTCCTCTTAATCCAACTGTGCTCAGAATATAAATCAGTTTAATAATCTGCCTGTTAAGAATGGTTAGCTGATGCATAAATACAAATATTAAATTAAATTAACTTCAGTTCACCTGAGACTTCTTTGTGGTTTGCACAGGTAAACAGGCTAAACAGGCTTTTCTTTAGATTTGGGAATTTCCAGGTGGAGCAAGGTGGGAGCGGAACTGGATTGTCCACTCCCGTAGTAGAGAACTGGATGACTGGTACCCTGATTATAAATGGGGAAATAGACTAATCTGTTCTGGGAATATGGTAACCATATAAACAATGCAGATAGTTTCATTTGAGGGTCAAAGACTTCCCATTATATTTTCCACTTATGAGCCTAAAGGAATGATGGTGAGGATCCAAATTATAAAACTAAACATTTGTGCTTTGTTATCGGGGGCTTTTGGGAAGGGGGTGGACTAAATTTCTATAGTAGATGGTGGAAAAAAACAGGAACGACCTTCTGCCATCTTGTCTTTCCAGCACTACTTGACATGTTTCAGTGGAACCATTGCGGTGCCGTTCCTCCTCTCTGAGGCGATGTGCGTCGGCTTTGATCAGTGGGCAACCAGTCAGCTCATAGGGACCATCTTCTTCTGTGTGGGGATCACTACCCTGCTACAGACCACACTGGGCTGCAGGTATGCACACACACCTCTCTTCCCCCGCTGTCTCTCATCCCTGAGTAACTGTGAGTGTGTTTAGGCGTTACATGAACTGAGTAAATGAATTACATCTTTTTAATTTAGAGCTGCAGATTAGTCCAATTTGCATCCACAAAGATACGCACTACTACATACAAGCTTTATTTATCTTTTACGTGTAGTTTCTATCAAAATATGGATGAGTAGCATTTTAATTTCTCTGCTGTGTTTCTGTAATATTTTATGAAATTGAGACAACATGTGGTTCTTCTATTGCATCACTTCTGGCCAAGCAATGTGAAAAACACGGAAGCAATAACTGATTAACCACGGGCATGTCTTGGTCAGTAGTGACTTTTCCAGGAGGGATGGCCTGTTTTACCAGTTTAGATGTGTGGAATGATTCGCTTTGACCCCCTTTCTCAAGAATGTATCGCGTTTTGTCTTCATACTTGTTTTTCTGGAAATACAAAGAATTAAACTCTTCATTTGGTAACGGTCCCTCTGCACTATTTCTACACTTTCTACTTTTGTTTGTTATTTACGACGGACATAAAATCAGACCTGCTTAATGTGAGGTATGTTTTGTAATCGGTGATTCACCCTTATTCAGCTCTTAAGGTTATATCACTCCTATCACTTGCCAGAAAATAATGACTGGTATAAAATGTTATCTGTTGTCATGGATATTATCACATCTCTGGGGTCTGTTTTAATGAAAGTTGAGTTATGATGGCAAGAGGTGCTGTTTTTCTTTCATAAAGAAGGAGCAGTTGCGCGAGAGAACCCTGGCTCGTTTTCTTTCTTTCCTTTTTTTTTTTATTATTAAACCTAATCTTTCAATCCTGTTGTGGAAGAGTCTTGGTCTCGTTATCATGCTGCACAGCAGCAGCAACACCGGCCAAATCACCTCACTCATATAAACCCAGACAGTCGCACACACAGGCTGTTCATTTTAACACTGACTCTATGACTTTTACTGATACTTTGATGGAAAGGAAAAAAGTGTGTGAAAGTTATCCTGCCTCCTCCTTTTATTTTATTAACAGACAAATAGTGGCTTAAAAATTAGCCCCTTGTAGAAAAAGATATACACTCATCACATTACATGTGGTCACCTGTAAATCTCTAATCAGACAATCACATTAAGGATGCAGTTAGTCATCCAAACACAATGAGGAACTGATAACATTCAACCCAGCTGCGTGACTTTGGTGGCAGTTTGGGTATTTCAGAGACTGCCCCTTTACTGGGGTTTTATACACACACACACACACACACACACACACACACACACACACACACACACACACACACACACAAAAATTTCCAGAAAGGTTTGAGCTGAGAGAAAGTCTCAGGTTACTTGTTAGAACTAAGGTAGGTATGTGAGCATCAACACATCAATCCTTGATGTGCTGTAGCAGTAGAAGGCTACTCTAGAAGCGATACACAAAGGACGATTAGGAAAAATTATGTCTGCTCAGATGGTCTATTTCTGCTGCAACACTTGCATAAGCTCACACACGCGTAAACATGGATCTAACCTATGAGCTGTCAACAAATTAGGCTGCTGCTGCTGGTGATGCGATGGTGTGTGGACCCTTTTTATAGCTTACCTTGAGCCTCTCAAGTCCAGCTGAAGATCATTTAGCACCACAGCTTACCTCAGTGTTGTTGTTGACCCTGTTGTTATCCTATTCACAATAACCATCTTCTAGTGGCTGTTTTTGTCCGGCTAATGCACCTTGTCACGAAGTTTGTATGATCTCAGGCTGTTTGTTTTGAAAGCAACAGTGAGTTTACTTGACTGAAATAGCCTCCCGAGTCACCGGAGTAATCTCAGTGCACTTCTATGAGCTCAGAGATTTTGACCCTATTTTTCTTCTTTCAGCTGATTGGTCAATGTCATGTCAATCACAAATGTAACTGTTTAACTGTTGTCCTCCTCTTCTGGGTCTGTACTTTCATTAAAAAAAAAGTTTTTAGGGATGAGTCACTGGACAACAGCACAACCCCAAGTAGATTAAACCCTCTGAAACCCTTTTGACAACTAATAAATAGCAACTACAGCTGATACATTTGGCCAGTTCCTCCACTATTAACTGTAATACATGAAACATTAATTGGCTGTCATACCTTCAGAAAGTGATTTAGTCCTGAATCGTCACTGATTTGTGCAAGCTGAGCAAACAGCCTTACGTTTATTGGTAATTTTATTAGCCCATTGTCTTGTCCTTTTTTTCCCACAACTTATTTTACAGACAGTTCATGTGGACATATAATGGGTCAATCTGAAAGTGAAGAAGCTGCCCCCTGTTGGACAATGTGGCAAACTATTTCAGACACTCTATACAACTTGCATTTTAACATTTGAGTTTAGTCCTCATTTCCATTTAGATGTTGATATGTTTCTGTGACAGAACAGATCTGGAGACTACAAAACTGACAGCTCTGCAAGGGTTAGTGGTCTCCAACGTCTGAAGACATAGTCTAACAATGTAGTGAAAATATTCTGTGTTTTAGGACCACAACAGTGCTGCATCCCACTTTTCCCATAATGCGTCCCACTAAAATCTGATTGCCTGGTAAATATCTACATCTTTCAGTGTCTGTGCCAATTATCAGCCACAAATGTAATGTCTCAGCATCAGGCTGAGGTTAATATCAGCTTTTGATATCAGCAGAAAAGGACAGATTTTTGTTTTGTTGTTTTTGTTTTTTCGGTTGCTGATTAGTTGTTATAGTTTAAAAAGTAAATTCTGTACTTGCAAAATATTTTTTTCCCCCTGTGAACTGATGAGTTTCTATCAAAATATAAACTTTATCTCCAGTCTTACATGATGCTATAAATGCCAGAAAAAGGATCATTAAATATGTAGATTGTATATGTTTACTGATTGTGTAGTAGAGTGCTCAAAAACATCTAAAACATAAATCACATGCTCAGTTTTTGCTTTTTCATAGAAAAGATGGGGAGGGGGGAGACTGAAACACAGTCTGGTCTTTTTTTTTTTGTTAAGCCCGTCATTGTTGCCATACCAGCAGCTTCCCCTCTTTCAGGCAGTGCTGCCCTGACGTCACAGACGGTGCTTATCTGTCCATCTCTCAGTGGATTCGTTTCTCCAGAGAAATGTCACTGAATGGAAACCACTAAGGGAGGGAGAGGATAAAAGCAGGGGGGAAAGGGAGACAGCAACAGTGTATCTGTAATAGTCATACTCCATCACATCTGGATTGTTTATAATGTACCAGATAACTCCCTAACAATGAAGGAAAAAAAAAAGAAAAAATGAAGAAAAAGGCAGATCAGCATGGACAAAAACTGTTATTCTAGGCTGATTATTTATGCATATCCCAGCCCATCAGTCCTCTGGGCCTCTCTCTGTTCATTAGAATGTCATGTTGGTGCTCAACATTTAAATATTTCTTCACCTGACTATTTCTCTAACTGCATGTTCAAACCTGTTAACAAGCCTGGTTACAGACATATTCATCCCTGCTCAGATTTCTTCAGCTATCAAGTGACTGACTCGATCGTATCCACAGTGATAGACTGAATGCAGGACGAGGGGGGGGAAGGTTTGGAGATGTGTACTGAGGAATGACGCAGAAGAACACGTGCAGAGCTGTAAAGAGGTGGAAAGTGGGTGGGGGTGATATGCAGTGAAGATTTCTGAGTCATCCTGCCAAGTGAGGTCAATCAAAAAGGGCAAAATGCTTTTCCAGGAAAGGTGAAAGTGTCTCTCTTTTTACCCAAAGTGTCCTGCTTGTGTGCACAGCTGCTACCTGCAAACATGAGACTTGTATACACAGAAATGTTTAGTGATTTGTTTTACAGTTACACATTAAAGCACACATGAAGCCTACATGACGAAACAGATTTTAAAAATGAAAAGCAAAGAAAACATTACAGCAATGATGATAAACATGAAAAGGGTAAAAACACGGGGATAAAGTTGAGTTAAAAATATTTTGTTTTATGGAGCCAACCATCAATCTTGAGGCCCACATAAAATTTTCTGGAGTTTTTTCATTGATTTGTATATTTGCACTGACAAGAAGCAGCTGTACATAAAACACTGACTTTTAGTTGAAACAAACAGATGTGCTGCCAATTCATAATTAGCGCTTATGAAATCTCACTTCCTCTTAAGAAACATTTCCTTTTTCCTTCCCACTACCTCTCCTCTTTTTAACTGTCCTTAGATTAGTCAGCAGCAGTCCAGGTGTATTCTCATGCAATACTGTCAGTGATGTTTTTAAAAAATGGAAATCAAGGTCAGGTGGAGCAGCATGTGGGGGAGTACTTGTGAACACTCATCTAATTTTGGCTCACTGAAACTAAAAATGATACTTGGTCTAGTCTAGTTTTTAATGATTGTACTTCTAGGGTTACAGATCAGAAGTTCTTAATTGAAACCAGATATGACTAAAACCCCCTGAAGTTTGGCAAAAATGTCCCAAATGTGACTAATTTTTAAACAGCCACACTTCCTAAACTATTTCTACAACTTTGATGAAATTCAGCTTATGTGAAGTCTGTTTTTAACTCTTGTCAAAACATTTTATGCAGCTAGTGAAAGTGTTTCACAGCACCTCAGCTAGATGGGGTATCTCACCCTAGACAAGCAGATTTGGCTCCAATTAAATTATGAATTGAGGCTGAATAACCCTGTTTTTAAATTGTGAACTGTCAATAAATACATTTTGAAAAAGGTCATCTTTTTGTTCAGTACATCACAACTAACCCGAAATGGTTCTCTTATTTCTTAAAGAGATGGCTTAGTTGGCTTAAGTGTTTAATATCTAAAGTGAGCTTTTCATGTTTTTCAGGCTTCCTTTGTTTCAGGCCAGTGCTTTCGCCTTTCTCGCACCAGCCAGAGCCATCCTGTCACTGGAGAAATGGAAGTGCAACAACACAGGTGAAGAGAGGACTGTCATCTATCTTTACTTTACAATATATTATATCTCAATGGTCTGTCTGGCTTTCAGTGGGAAAGCCTTGCAAAGATCTGTGATTCGTTGGTTTCTGATTGCTCATCTCGTCTTTTTCCACAAGCAGATATTCCAGCATTAAACGGTACAGAGCTCCTCAACACAGAGCACATTTGGCAGCCCAGGATACGAGAGGTAAGGCAAAGAAACATGCACACGCTCACACATACACTCACTCACACTGTTCCAAACCACATCTTTGTGGGAAGGGGTGACTGACTTTACTGCAGGTTTTCTCTAAATGTTGTTGAACTGCACTTAAATAACACATTTTTGAACAACTAAATTTGAAAAGTATGTCTGTTAAGCTGATGTTTAAAAAGTTGAACATTGTATATATGCTGCTAAAATAGAGACATTACTGTTTTCTATATGTCTGCAGGGTTTGGGTTTGTGTGACACATGCTCTTAATTTGCGTTAACCTTTTGCATTTGCGTAAGCCGGTTGAGTAATTGTTTGTTATGTGACACGTGAATGAGGCGAAACTCGATCAGACTGAATCAGATTGTTGAATGAAGGAACAGACGTTTGATAAAATGTGACAGAGGAGAACAGAAAGACCAGGCAAACAGGATTAACACTGATCGCTGTCAGTGCTGCCGACTCTGTTACCTTGTGCTATACAATCACAGTGTTTGCTTTTAATTCATAAATTTGAGGGTTTTTATTTAATGCTTAAGTACTGATATGTGCAAGTACAGTGTAAACAGACCTAGTTAATACTAAGCAAACTGACAGTGAGCAGTCTCACAATAGCCTCACGTACAAAACCTTACTTTGTGTTTTGATTTATGAAAATGTTCATTTTGCATGAATCTTGGTAGGTAGGTAGGTAGGTAGGTAGGTAGGTGTGTGTGTGTGTGTGTGTGTGTGTGTGTGTGTGTGTGTGTCAGCTCACGTGTTTCTGCAGAACAGAAATGTATTTATTTATTATTTATTTTTGTTTTGACAGATCCAAGGTGCCATCATTGTGTCATCCATGGTTGAGGTGTGCATTGGCATGCTGGGTCTCCCCGGGATGCTCCTGAAATACATCGGACCTCTGACCATCACTCCCACCGTGGCCCTCATTGGCTTGTCTGGTTTCCAGGCTGCAGGGGAGAGGGCTGGAAAACACTGGGGTATTGCTATGCTGTAAGTATGGACACGCCAATGTGTCCTCAATAACACTGTCTTTAAAAAGACACTATCTAGAGTCTGTTTGTCTATGGGGAAAACATGCCATTGGTAAGTCAAAATTTCGGGTTAGTATCTCAAAAGTTCAAGGTATGTCTGAGTTGAGATGATTCAAAGACCTGAGTGGCTAAGATGACCACATTAAAACTTAATCTAGGAAGCACTTAACCCTGGATCATGTGGGCTGTGAAGCTACAGAGGGCTGACTCATGAAGGATGATGCACTTCATAATGTGACGTTCAGGTGGTGTGACATCAGCTTCTGCTGTGTCATAGCTGTTTACACTGTAGCTCGAGGGCCTCTTCTCTCGCCCACAGGAATTGAGGTATTGTGGCTGTAATTGCAACTAATTTCTTGGGCCGTTAGGATAATTGATTGGCTCTTAAGCCTTGTCAGACATAGGCAGGACTTAAAGGAATATGTTTGCAGAATTGGTTGTCATGCAGAGAATATGCGGTATAACATGTCACCACTAAACTTAGGAAGATTGGTTCTCTCTGCAGGACTATCTTCTTGGTGCTGCTCTTCTCTCAGTATGCCAGAAATGTTCACTTTCCTCTGCCCATCTACAAAGCCAAGAAGGGCTGGACATCCTATAGGCTCCAGGTCTTCAAAATGTTTCCTGTAAGTACACAACATGCTGTAAGTGCCTGCATACAAACAGTGTCTAGACTTTTTGCTTTCATTCCAATTATTAATATTTTTCTCTCTTGTAAGTCACAAATTATTCAGCAGAGCAAACGTCCGTCTCCCCAGGTTGTCTGAGCACTTTGTAAATCAGTCACTTTCTTCCCCCTGCTGGTGAAGTGATTAAAAACACCATTAAATTATTTATTTGCTGCTCTTATTTTAATTTATACCTTTTTCATGAAACGATCTCAAATTACTTTTATGTCTTTTTATTGGCCTCAGGTCTTATGCTGCAATGCTTTTAAACTAATCATTAAATGATTTTTTTTTCCTAGTCCAAATGTGTAGAATGGTTAGTCCACATGTGAAGTCAGACAGCATGATGTGAACAAAGCTGTATCCAAAGAAGATCCAAACACTCACCTCCTGATGTATTAGTTTATTAGCTTCTAGGATAAACAGGTCTAAGTATAACCAAGGCAAATTTAATTTAATAAACTGATGCATACACCCCAAAAGGTCATGATTTCTTTCACATACTCTGCATATAAACAGATAGCTGGAGAGAAGTAATAAAAACATATACAAAAAGGGTAAAAGGTGTTGTTGTTTTTTTTTCTTCATGTTTTTGATGTTATGTAAAAGTCTGATAAGCTTTTTCTTTTCTCTTTCATGCAGATCATAATGGCCATTCTCATGTCGTGGCTGTTATGTTTCATTTTCACTGTGACCGACGTTTTCCCACCAGATAAGGACAAATACGGTTTCTACGCCCGCACAGACGCACGTCAAGGGATCCTCTTAGCAGCACCATGGTTCAAAATCCCCTACCCCTGTGAGTGTATTAATGAAGAGGAAGGTCTACAAATTGTATATATGCTGTAGACTGACTATAGAAATATAATATGAAAGTTTAAAGTTTGCATTAAGCATGATGATGGATAAAAATACCAGCATGTTTTACCTCTACAGTCCAGTGGGGCGTTCCCACGGTGACGGCTGCAGGTGTGATCGGTATGATGAGCGCTGTGGTGGCCAGCATCATCGAGTCAATTGGAGATTACTACGCCTGCGCTCGGCTGTCGTGTGCTCCTCCGCCTCCCATCCACGCCATCAACCGGTAACCTTTGTTTTTCCACCTCCTTATTTGCTCTCATACTTCAGTAGTTCGTCACAAACAGCCCAGGCAGTTTACTGTCTGGTCCGAACTATAATTATGATGTTTTTTTGTCTCTGCAGGGGAATATTTATAGAAGGCATTTCCTGTGTGCTGGATGGTCTTTTCGGGACAGGAAATGGCTCTACTTCCTCCAGTCCAAATATAGGCGTCCTTGGAATCACAAAGGTAACACACTATATGTTTTGGGTTTTTTTTTTATTCTTTATTTACTTTTTCTGTATTCATGTTACCTGCTCTTTATTTAAAAAGGTGTTTTAAAAGTCTTAATTGGTTCTCCAGGTGGGCAGCAGGCGTGTAATCCAGTATGGAGCTGCCATGATGCTGCTGCTGGGGCTCGTGGGTAAATTCAGTGCCCTCTTTGCCTCTCTGCCTGACCCAGTCCTGGGAGCGTTGTTCTGCACCCTGTTTGGTATGATTACAGCAGTGGGACTGTCCAACCTGCAGTTTGTCGACCTCAACTCCTCCAGGAACCTCTTCGTCTTGGGCTTCTCGATCTTCTTTGGCCTGATGCTGCCGAACTACCTCAAACAGAACCCACTGGTCACCGGTGAGTGCACGGAAGGGAAATCAAACTTTCAGTCACTCATTTTCACTTTTACAAGGAGCACCAGTAACAGTAGGAGAGTGTTGTGGGTCAGGAAGTAGTTGTTTGTCAATCAGAAGTTCAGTGACTTCTCCAGTCCAGAGATTAGATCAGTTTAACTTTGTGTCAGTGCTGTAACTTCAAAAACAAATTGTACTACATTCACGACTTCTGTCTTTCTCAGGCATTGTTGAAATTGACCAAGTGCTAAATGTGCTCCTCACCACTGCAATGTTCGTCGGAGGGTCTGTCGCCTTCATTTTGGACAATACCATCCCTGGTAAGGTTTTTAATTTCATTAGTTTGAACAAGAATGAATGTTTTCACATTTAATAGTGTTTTAAGTTATTGCTGCTTGAGAAAGTGATGGTAGTTTGTTGGAGCGTGCAAAAAAGTTTTTAAGGAACACGATCATAACATGTGGCTGTGACTGCCAAGCAGGTACAGGTATCGTACAAGGCACTACATGTGGGGGGTGGTCGTATGTCTGATCCTCGAGGTCATGCTGGGAAAGGTGGAAGAAAACATGGCTGAGAGAGTCGTCTGAGCGTAACCTGCTGCCACCTGGAAAATCAACTGAAGATGAATGGGCGGAGGCGCATCTTACGAATTTCTTTCCATCTTCACAAACATCAGAAAGTCACAGCAGCAGCAGAAGACTTGTGGAGCTTGTTCCTTGTTAGCCTGGACTTTTAATTGTGAACTTTAAGGCACTCATTATTAATCTCTCTCTATCCTCAGGTTCTCCTGAAGAACGAGGTATTAGGAAGCTGAAACGCGGTTCTGGTCTTAGTGCAGCAGAACTGGAAGGGATGAGATCCTACGACCTGCCGTTTGGAATGGACTTCATCCGCAGACACCGAATCTTCAAGAACTTCCCCATCAGCCCAACGTTCACAGGCTACCATTGGGGGCGGCTACAGGGAGCCTGCAGGAACAGAATGGGACACGGGGATGGGGCAAAGGGAGGGGAGGGCGGCGCAGCACGGGGAGAGAGTCTGGTATAACCAGCAGGCTGGAGAAACCTTGAAATGGTTGAATTTTGGGGAGCAAGGGATGGTACACTAAGTCAACATAATGGGGGAGTGGAGGACAGAAGCGGCACTGGATTGTGTGGAAGAAAATGTGATGCACCAACCCCCCCCCCCCCCTTCCCACCCTGTCACTATATGCGTTTATTTTCTATAGCTTGTATCAGTCTCTTCCCACTTCCCACTATGCTATTTTAAGCATGCTATAGCAAGCCACAGCATGCTATAAAAGATGTCACCATGTGGAGATCAGTCTGTTTGTGTGCATGTGTGCATGGAGTAATCCAGGAGGAGACAGATGGATGTCAGGCAGTCGGAGCTGAATGTCTAATGGCTCACTCACTCGTGATCGCTGCTAACTGAGACAGCCCAAATTATGTTGCATACATTCTTCTCAAAGCACAGTAGATTGAAATATGGGACTTGAGCATCATGTTAGGAATCGTTCCCCTCTGGATTTGTTATGCAACCACACATGCACACACCAGCAGCCACTGTAGATCAAGCACGAGCACTGCATTGCACAACAGGGGGTCATGCAGAATGATGGAAGTAGTTTGTAGGGTCCCCTTAGCCATGTGAAGTGATTGTGAGATTTATTTTTGTAGTACCTCCTTCCTGAGTTCAAAGTAGAATGTCACTTCACAGATTCTTCAGTAAAACACGCTCACGCTAAAGAGGCTCGCATCCCATATTATTTCATAATGAAGTGCTAATATTCAGAAGACTTCTCCCATATTACTGGGCAGAAAAGAAAATCACTAACATACCGGTTTACATTTATTTAGATTATGTCAGTATTATTCATCAGTTGTTAACAGGACCAAAACTCTGCCTTTCCTGAACATGCTCGTTAAAGTTTTAATTTAAATCTGCTACCCTTTATTTACTTTACATGCTGGCTCTTAACTAATGAGACAAGCTTTTAATAATGCCTCTATCATCATGGTGACGGCAGAGGATTTATAAGAGCTGCATTAATGCGCACAGTAACACGGACATGTGGCCTTGTCAGGGAGACCTTGTGTGAGTATATATGAAACTGATGAATGATGACATGAGAATAAGTGTTCTCGCACAGCTCCGTGTGGGACTTGTCTCACAGTTTTGGGGTCACTGTGGATGTATATTAAGGTAGGATTTACCTAAAGGCTATATAATTGTACTGGGAGGTAAGGACAGTGTATTTTGCTGACTATAGAGTATATAAATCTAACAGTTTCTTTCTTTTGTGCCCTTCATCAGCTCACATGTGCAGTGTGGCAGTTTGGGGGGGTTCTTTTTTTTCCCCGACAGTCATGACGTATCAATGTTTACTTGTTTAACTCTGGTCATGACTTTTTCTTCACATTCCTGCTCTCCCTCAGTCATCAATACGCGCTCTCTTTCATCTCCTACTAAGTTTCAAAGCATTTGCAGTCTGTACGGTATTAACCCAGGCGTGCCCCCCACCCCAAAAACAGAGCCACTCTTTTCTGACCACACTGTGTGCCTCTGCTGCTTCTATGTATAAAGAGCAGCTTTTGAAAAAAATACCACAGAGTTGGCAACAATATAAAAAAATGATGCATAGAAATAAAGAGTAGCCCACTTGAGATTTTTATAAAACCAAAACGCTCAAAGCTCTTTATTTGTATTTCTGCTGTTCTGTTACCATATACCAAAACTTTTCATTGACATTTGTTGCTACTGAGAGACGTGATTAGTTTAGTCTCATTCCAGATTCCCCCATTTTTATCTCTTATTAAAGCTATTTATTTATTTATGGGGGGTTTTAAAAAAGAAAAAGTCTAACGGGTTTATGCGTCCCTTTCAGAATTTTTAGTGTGTTTTAGTTTACTTGTTGAAGCCCTGTAAAGACCGGTAATGATTGACAGCTACTCCTGCCCTCCGCCCCAGCTCCAATCGGTGCTTTTAGAAGGTCACCCGGCGAGAGAGGCTTTGAAAGGGTTGTTTCTGACGTAATATAAAAGCTGCTTCTATTTCATTCCATTTCTATCATGTTGCATTTGAAAGCGAAAGATGAACACTTTTAAATGTCGAACTGGATAGTTCAGAATTTACAGATCAGGGCCTTTTTACTACGAAGTACTGTTTGCACATGTAATGGTGCCAAGAAGACTGGGGTCCAGATGACTTCATACGCACTAACCTGGAAACCTGAAATATTACTACAGTGCTTTTGAAGACTTTAAAGGAGGTGTGAACATTAATGACCTAATTAAAACAGCTGTAGTTCCATTTATGACGTACTGCTCTGATTTGGTGACGTCTCATACTTTGTTACGCCAAAATAAACCATAGTTATTAATTATGTGACCCTTAATATCTACAGGGGCGTCACTTTTTAGGTAGGGTTAAAGGTGTTGGGACATTTTTATAGATTTCCATTTGTTTGTCAAATAAAATATGCAATTGCAGTAATATAATTTGCGTTGACTATACCACTGAAACTCCTTACGAGGTCGCAGACTGATTTTTCCAAAATACTGAATGACCATCCAGAGTAGATGGTAAAAAAAACAGAGTAATGATGTCACAAAAGAGCCCAGGGTTAGAGATAACTGACGTGCGAAAACTGTAAATCTAAAACCTCATCTCCCTCGTTTAAATTATTGGCTGACTTGCAAAGGGACTTTACCAGGTGGTTGGTAAAATAAGCAGTGTGTTGTTGGCACTCCAGCTGATGTGTCGTGACTATATAACCTAGCTCTGAGAGCTGGCAGTGATCAAAGTCAGACTTTTAAGCAGCTTCCACAGAGATAGAGGGTAGTTTAGAGGTAGTTTTGGGGGGGTTGGCCCTTGCTGTAGTAAATTTCTGGCATGCACACGACTCGCGACCTTGTTTTCTGTGTCATATCATGTTCATACAACCAGCACTTCTCCCATCACATCAGTCTCTCCTTGCACACTCTTGGCCCTGCAGTGAAGATACATCTGTGTCCTCGTGATTGGTGTACCTTGTTTTTCTCCTCTGGAATTTTTATTGTCACCATTTCTGAATGCAGGAGGAGGACACACCCGTTGGTCACCTTATTAAGAGCCTGTTGTTTATCAAGCAGCTGAGTGAAACCTGCCTTATCGCTTAATGTGAAGATGAACATGGGATGTCTTTGTGCCTCATGGCAGCTTCCTCCAGTTTTTTATTATTGTACTCCTGTCTTATTGTAGGATTTAGTACACATGCACCTCTCGCACAGCTGTGAAAGAAGCAGCCAGTTACAGTAAAAAACAAAATAAAAACATTGTTTCTGGTTTGAATTACATTCACATGGCTCTTAAAAAGGTGACCATAAGGTGCGTAACACAAAGACATCGATCCCTTTCAGTTATTTTGAAGGGGTCATTACCTGGAGACTATACTTCTGTGTATTAAGTGTTCTATCTTTTTAATGTTTTTTTTTTTTTTATATACATAGTTTTTATGTTTTTGCAAGCAAATATTTGTAAGAAACGAATCATAACTTTGAATCTTAAATCATGCTGGAAAGCGCACCATTTTCTTGTACTTTTTATTTAAAAAGTAAATACATTTGAACCCTATTTCAAATCTGTGGTTTGGTGGAATCCTGTTTATGATCTTTTCATATTGTATTTTTTTACTCTAACATTGTTTTCTGTCCATGTTAACACATTACCAATATAAATCCAAGAACAAGCTGAGAAACTTTAAATAGATGTAAAAACACAAATGTATATTTAATGGAGCAAAGTTTGCTAAACATTCTGGAATATAAATTGTGTAAACTAATTGTAGCAACAAAATGTTTTATTCTTTGTCCCTAAAACTATTTAATAAGATGTTACTAAATGAATTTAGTCTTCTGTCTTTTTTTTTTTTTTTTTTTTTAAGGTCTTTTCAGTGT